CTACGCTATGCAATGCTCTGCTATGCTAAAGCTCAGCGAAGCTAAGATGAAGGTAAGCTAAGCTAAGATAGACCTGAGCTAAGACGAAGCTAAGCTAAGCTAGAATGAAATGAGATAAACAACGCTAAGCTAAGGGGACGTAACTGGGGGAACCGCGGGGCGGATACTGGGGGAACCGCCCGGGGCGGTGTGCACTGCCCGGCCCCTTTAAGAAAGAGGGTAAGAACCCTGTAGGCAGAGCCTAGGTAGGGAGTTAAGTAAACGTGTGTAAATATATGTATTTGTATTGTATATCTTTATCTATAGTTATGTATGTTTGTGTGTAGATATGTATTTACATGCATATACATCTATACATATATATATATATATATATATGTATGTGCATCTGTATACATATTTATAGACTACACACATATCAATATGTGTATCTGTACACCATACATACTAGAACCATCGCGCGCGCTTCGCGCGCGCTCAAGTTGTAGCTAGGCTTGATCGGCTAACTCATGTAATATCATGTTGGTCGCTTCTTGCGTCCAGGGGCTCCCTTGGAGGCCCTGCGCAAGCCTCGGAATCGCATAGCAGGGGAAGTGCGGAAACGCAGAAACCATGAACTCCCTTTGGGAATTCAACGATTTGGGGCCCTCAAAAGCTTCCTGGGTTTTTTTTTGGAGGTGAGGGGGGTCTGACTTGTGGTCTGTTGTGCAAGAATAGAGCGGGGGCCAAACTTAAAACAAAAACGAATTGTGGGATTTCCATGCTTTTCCAATTCCTCGGCGCTGTTCGGCGCTGTTTTTTTTGTGCCTCGCGGGATTTGTTAGCCGGGCCCCTCAGGGGTGTGGGATCTTCCGGACCCCCTGGCGGTTCTGGAGGCCACCTGGGGGCCTGGAGAGCCGTCGGAAGGGTGTCTCGGGCTGCGCGGGAGCGTCTTGGGTCGTTCTTGACGCTGTGGGGGCTCCTTGGGGTCGTCTTGGGCTGTCCTTGGGCGTCTTAGGGCCCCCCCGGGAAGCGGGGAGGCGCGGTACCAGCCAGATGTCAGGGGATGTGTGGGATCTCCAAATAGGAGTTCCACTTTGAAAAAAAAAGGAATTCTGGTAATGTTTTTTTTCTTTTTTCTCTCTCTTCAAAATCCTCGATTTTCGAGGGTTGGAAGCAGGAAAACGTGAGAAGGCGGAAAACATTAGGAAAACCATTGGAAATCAATGATTTGACCATCTTTGGGCTCTCTCGGGACGGCTCTCGCAGCTCTCTTGGGCTGTTCTTGGAGCTTCGTCGGGGTCTTTTTGGGGCCTCTCAAGGATCGGGGGTGTGTCGGGGGCCTCTGGGGGGTCCCTCCCGGAGGCTTGTCGGAGGTCTCTGGAAGCCTCCTGCTCCCGCTCTTGGGCCTATCTTGGGCCTGTTCTAGGGTGGTCTGGGGCTGTCCTGGGCGCCTCTTCGGCAATCTTGGAGCCTTCTTGGGCCGTCTTAGGGCCGTCCTGAGGGTCTCTTGCTCTTGGGCGGTCTTGGGAGCCTGTTCGGCGCTCCTGGACCATTGTGCTAGAACCACGCGCGCTTCGCGTGTGCTTAGGTTCTAGCTCAGTCGGGAATCTCTTTGGGCCGTCCTGAGCTCACACCACCGCCCGCACTTAGGATCCTGTTTAGAACTCGTAACGTGAAGCGACACAAAAACCAAACGACAATCTATGCGGTTAGCGTCTCCCGGCCCTCTCGGGTGCCCGCTTGGGGCCTTTTCGGACCACTTCTCGCTATCTCGTGCCGTGCTGGGGCCCATTTGGGGCGTCTTCGAGGGCTTTGGCTGTCTTGGGGCCTTGTTGGGTCACTCTTGGAGGGCTCTTGGGGCCCTCTTGAATCTCTCTTGAAGCCATGTCGGATCTGGGCCTTCTTCGGGCCGTCTTGGAGCGCCCTTGGGCCGTCTTGGAACTCTCTTGGGCCCTCTTTTGGAACCGCTTGGTCCGTCTTGGGCCGATTTCTGGGGCCTCTGTCTTGGCCCGTCGGAGGCATGAAAAAACCAGAACACGGAAAACCACAGAAATCAGTAAAATTATTGTTTCGCCTCCTGAGGGATTCATGGGGCTCCCTTTAAGGGCCTCTCGGTCGTCTTCAGGCCGTCTGGGGATGAGTTGAAGGCATGTTGGGCCATCTTGGAACGCTCTTGTGCGGTCTTGGGCTCTGGGGCTGTCTTGGGGGCCTCTTGGGGGCCTCTTGGGCTATCTCGGGAAGGTCTTGGGCGCTACTTGGGCCGTCTTGGAGCGTCGGAAGCCCGAAAAGTCGTATATGTAACAACTGTACGTTTTCCTTTGCGACTTAGACGATTTGGGCCTCTTGTGGCTCTGTTCCAAGGCCTCTTGGGGATCTCTTGGGGCGTCTTGTGAGCCTCCTGGGCCGTCTTGGGGCCATCTTGGGCGTCTTCGAGCCCTCTGGGCCTGTCTTGAAGCGCTTTTGGGGCAATCTGGGGCTGTTTTGGGTGCTCCAGGGGCGCTCCGGGGCCCCCTGGCCCTCGCATGGGGGGTCGAGGCGCGCGTTTACGGGCCCCGGGCCTTCCCCCCCCATATATACATATATATATATATATATATATATATATATATATATATATATATAATGTATTTGTATATATATATATATATATATGTATATATATATATATTCAAAGTAGAATCGACTATACTACCATATAATGGAACAACCTAAAAAGAAACGATCCTCTATACTATAGCGCAATGTTGCATACTTCAAAATCAGACAACGTGGTTAAGTACGATATAATTCAATTGTTTATAACGTAATATCTTATCATATAGCTTGCTATACTATCATATCGTATAACATGATATATGTATGTCTGCATGTATGTATATATATATGTATATATTATCAGGTCGAACAATATCAAATTACGTAATATAATATCACACATTATCAAATTACGTAATATAATGTAACACGATATGGTATAACGTAACATAATATAAGATATGATGATCTATCGTATTGAATAAATATACGCTATACAGTAATACGATATAATAAAATATACAAGCATTTAGTACAACCTATTGTAATATAATGTCATATAGAATAATGCGTTGCAACATACTATATTGTATGGTAGTACTCTATTTCAGACTATGACATATTACAATGCAGTGTAATCTTAGCATCTGTATTTGTGTGTATATATATATGTATATGTAGGTGTGCATATATATATATATATATATATATCACCAAAACTGGAGAAAACACCTTCGAACAAATGTGGATCATGCAACAAATCAATTGCACATGCAGCGGGAAGCAACCCAACGGAGCACAATGCAACATCAGGCAAAACAGTGTAAACTACCGAAGATGATTCTGGGAACTCAGATATCCCAGGGACGAGCCGCCCTAGAAAAAGGCCAAGAGCACCCCAAGGGGAGCCCAAGACAGGGCCAAAGGGCACCCAAGAACAGTCAATGAGCTCCCCGAGAGAGGCTCCAAAGGCTTCCAAGGGGGGCCCAAGCGGGGCACAGGAGGGACCCAAGAAGCGCTCCAAGAAAGACAGACGATAGCGTCAGAACGAGAGGGCCCAAAGCAACGCCCCCTCAGCCCGAAATGCAAGCCGTGAGGGCTCATGAGCAGCCCCAAGAGTGGCGTCAAGGGTGCCGCACGGAGATCCCGAAGTGGGCTCCAAGAAGCCCCTTGTTGGCCTGGCAGGGGTGGAGCCTGGCGCGCGCGGCGCCAAGCTCGCATCGAAACGCCCGCGGCGAAACGGAGGCAGCGGTGGCACCGCGACGGTGGCGGCGGCAAGAAACGCACCCCAGGCTCTAGCAAGCCGCAGCCCTTGACTGAAGTAGTGACCCACACATGTTTTGAACTCGAAGTGAAAAAAATACCAACCACGCGGATCACGTAACATCGCCCCGCCAATCCCGGCACGCCCCTCACACGGATCGCGCCCCCCCCCCCCCCCGGAGCTCCACTTACAGTGCCAAGGACGAACTTCGCACGCGTCCCTCCGCCCATCTCGGCACATCCTTGACACGGATCGTGTTCCAGAAGGATGTACTTCCACGTGCTGCCCTAGTGGGAAGATTCGGATAGCGCCCCCCCATCGCGTATTTCGACTCACTCTCCACACGGATCGTGCCCCCAAACCGACGGCCCCATCGGCAAACCCCTGACATGGATCATTGGTTAGTGGCGTCGTGTGGGCGTCTTGTACGCTTGTCGTAGACTCGCGGCATGATTATCATGAGCCCCTCGAAGTCTCCGCAATGCCTCGTGGGGCCTCTCGGCGTCTCTTCGGGGCCACTCGGGAGCTTCGGGGGTTTCTTGAATCTTTGGGGGCATGTTCGGAGCCGCGCCTTCCAAGCCACTGCCCCACGATCCCTCTTGGTACAATCGTGGGGCCATCTTGGGCCTCCTGTGGGGCCCTTTTCTTTTGTACGACGTAGAAGTGAGAGGCTCAAGGCAAGTCGGTAACAACATAACGCATGTTCTCATGTTCGCTATGTTACATAAGGAAATGCGCGAGCTTGACAAGAGTGACACATCAAATGCAACATTGAGATTTGGGCACGGCTTTCGCCTTTACACGGCTCCCCAGGATCTCTGGTAACCGCTAAGACGACAAGACGACAACCCAACACAAGAAGGTTGAGAAACATGGTTGACGATTCTCACCGTCAGGCCGCCTATAGCGATCCGCGGGCAGAGTCGCGCTGTCAAAGTCTAACGGCACATGTGCTAGAGAGTTGCTCTTCTACACATGGCCTCCCGCTGCACTGGCCATCGGTGCCGCCCTTTCCAAGAACCTCTTGGGCCCCCCGACGTCCAACGAGCATCGCGAAAAATCACGAACGGAGCCCTCGGCCGCGAAAAGCGACCGCGGAAGTCTCCGAAGGAAACGAGGCGGCCAGCAGGCACTTTCGCCGTGCGCGCCGTCAAAGCTTCCAATGAGTACCATGGGCTTTCTCATAAGCGTTCCACCCCACCCCATAGATAGCTCCCTGCGTCCCTCCCTGGAGAAAGGCCAGCGGCGAGGTACTCTTGCCGAGCGCGGAATTATCCAGGGCTCGCGTTCTGCACGGACACTGGTAAGGATTGGTTATCGTGCAAGCACTCCGCAAAAACACGGCCGCAGAGTAGGAGAACGAGATCCCGGCGAGGGTGCAGGAATGCATTGGAATCGTAATACATGCTCGTAGGTTTGGCAACATGATGCCTCTCTCGCGCGCGCAAGCCATGTATTAAAGCGACACAGCGTTTTTAGATACAGCATCGTGGAATTCAGCTTGGGCACTGGGCTTGGCGTGCGTGCTGTCAGGACTTGTGTTTCCAGAGCAGAGGCCCTTTTTTGCATTGAGCTGCTCTGCGTTACCCCCAAGTAGACGGAGAGAGCAAACGTGGCAGAAATTACACCCTGCACCTTTGGAGCACTTGCCGTTCCTGCGCGCGGGGTACTTGCACGGTGTGCAACATGTGTTCTGGCCAGCAAATGTGCCAAACTGTGACCCTCCGTTGGAGGGGGCTTGTGCCTGCGGCGCTTCGGCTTGAGGCGGCTGCGCTCGGCCTCGGCCTCCGTGCGGATGGCGTGGAGGTTGCCTGCCGTGTCGCCGAAGATGTCCTTGACCTTGGCGTGGACCTCGATGGCGAACCTGGCCTGAAGGGCCTCGGTGGCCTCCTTGTCACTGTGCTCGGCCTCCTTGCCCGAGAAACCAAAAGCAGGCCCCGCCTCGATGTGCAAGTTGTCAGTGGGCTCCGGCAGCATGGTGAGGTTGAACGCTGCAGCCGAGGGCGGTGCAGGCTCGGGCGGGGCGCTCGGCCGCTGTCCCACGGGCCCAGGACGGCAGCCGGCGCGCGCTCGGTGCTCTCCTGGGCCTTCGCCAGCTGCACGGCGGCGTCCTCGGAGGCCTGCTGCTCGACGAGCCACTGCAGGGCCTTCTTCTCGGACTCCATCGCCTTGTCCACGGCAGCCTGCGCCTTGCATTGCGCCGCAGCCATGCGTTGGTAGTGCTGGATCGGGTTCTCAGGCTTGGCGGGCTGCTGGGGGCGACGAGGTCTTGAGCGCTGCCAAGGCCGCTTCGGCCGTGGGGCTGCGGAAGAGCCGGCGCCGCCGTCGCATCAGGGCGACGCCTGCGCCGCGACTTGGGCGATTTCGACTGCCCGGCCCAGCCGCCGGCGTCGGTGGCATCGTGCCCTTGTTTGCGGCCAGCCCACGCGCCCTGGAGATCACGGGCCCAGGGCGCCAGAGTCAGCTCGAGGGGCTTCTTCTGGCAGCGGAAGCAGTTCGTCTTGCCTTTCATCGTCCATAGGTAGCCGCAGCCAGTGCATCTTGTGTGCGCTTTCTTCCCCTTACTCTGTCGCATGGGCCTGCGCAAAATGGCCCCGCTGAAGGCCGCACACGAAGCCTGCACACTGGTGCGGGGTCGGGTAGGACGGAGAAAGCTGAATGTGCGGGGACTCGAGCCGCCAGAGGAGGGGGGAGGAGGAGGGGGAGGAGGAGGAGGAGGAGGAGAGGAGGGGGAAGGGAGGAGGAGGAGAAGGAAGGGGATGAGGAGGAGGAGAAGGAGGAGGAGAGGAGGAAAGAGGAAGGGGAGGAGGAGGAGAAGGCGGAGGAAGGAAGAGGAGGAGAGAGAGGAGGAGGAGGAGAGGAGAGGAGGAGGAGAAGGGGAATGAGGGGGAGGAGGGAGCCAGGGACGATGATGACGACGAAGGGGTGCGACGTCGCAGACGGTTGCAAAGAACAGCGCTGGGAAGGCAGCGCTGCCGCGCGGAGGGCTTCGCTCTCCCCGCCGCTCCTTCCCAGTTGCCCGAACGCCTTGGCGACGGCGAGCAGCGCGGATGCGCACTCCTGTGGGGGGGATGGTGGCGGCCCCGCGCCGTCGAGGCGGCGAGGCCGCCCCCCCCTCCAGCAGGGAGGGAGAGGGAGGAGGGGGGGGGGGGGGAGGGAGGGAGAGGGAGGGAAAAGGAGGGAGGGAGAAGGAGGGATGGGGGAGGGAGGGAAAAAGGGATGGAGGGAAACGTTGAAGAGACAGGGACGAGAAAGAGAGAGAGGGAAGGCAGAGGGAAAAGAGATGGAGAAGGGAAATGTAGGCAGGGAGGGCCGGTCAAACCGAGGAGCCTGGCGCGTGTGCGGGAGGGGGCATACGAGGAGGACGCGGAGAGGCCACGTAGCTCGTGAGCGGCGACGTGCCGAGGAGGAGGATGAGGATGAGGATGAGGGAGTGAGGGAAGAGGAGGAGGAGGAGAAGGAGGAGGAGGAGGCGGAGGAGGAGGAGGGAGAGGAGGAGGAGGACGATGACCAGTGTAAACACAGGACTCATCAGCGATGTTGAAATACACCCTCCCTCCAAGATCCCTCGTCACAGGCCCCTGCAAGGGGTCCTTGCAAGTGAGGGAATTGGCCCGTTGGGGGACAACCGTGTGAACATCTTGGGGCGTGCCAAGACTGCTCCTGCGGCTTCATCGTGTCCATCACGCTGGTGCAGCGCGGCGCCAGCAGCGCGACCGCCTGGCGGGTGGTGGTGCGGCGTGGCCTGTCGGAGGTCCCCGCCCACGCGACGTTTGCCCACTGCTGGCTCCTCCACTTACGGTCGGGCTGCTGAAATGCGGAGCGGCAAACAAGGAGCGCAACCCTTTTTTGGCACCAGGAGAGCCTGGATGCACGAGGAGGGCTAGAGGCACAACCACGGAATGACCCAAGGAACAGCGAGCTCCTTCTGAACTCCGAGCAGTCCCTGTTCCAGCGCCTTGGCTGTGCTGTTTCCTTTCCAGCCTTGCATCCTCCTCGTGCAGTCGACGCAAGGTCGCAAGAGGGCAGATCGAGAACACGGGCCCCTTCGCCGAGAGCCCAAGGCCCCATGGAGATACCCAAAACGAAAAAGTGGTCCAGGTGGAGAGCCCAACGGCGAAAGAGATGAGGGTACCCCTTCCAAAGCTACGACTGTCCTGAAACCTAGTGCCAGCTGTACTGTTCCTGCGCAAAAGATAATTCAGGGGCGGGGGAAGGAAGAAAATCGATCATCACAGTGAGTGGGCCGGGCAGTCTTTTACTACACCATCCCTGGGTGCGTGTCTGAAGTGGGCTTTCGCGCTGGGGATTACTCTTGGGATTGTTGTTTGCTGATTATTTGTTGTTGTCGCCGTCCTCGCCCGCGACCCACCCACCCAACGACCCGCCTGCGACCCACACGCATTTGTTGACAACAAATCGGCGCCTGCAGCGGGCTTCTTCAGAGCTTCGCCTCGCAAACTGCGCAGACTGCCGGCGATCCAGCCTCCTCACTCTTACCCACAACTGAAGGGGTTGTGGTATATTCTCCAGCCGATGCTTGCAATTTGGGGTTCTTGCTTCTGTTACCTGCGTAATTGGATGAGTCCTCTGTGGTTTCGCCTGGTGGGTGCCCCGTGCGCTGGCTGGGTTTCGCCTGGTGGGCGCCAATGGGCGCCCCTTGTGCTTGCTGGGACCGCCGAGGTTTCGCCTGATGGGCGCCCGTGAGGGCCTCGTGGGCGCCCCGTGCGCTGGCTTGGTCCGCCGAGGTTTCGCCTGGCTGGCGCCCGCGGGCGCCTCGTCCGCTGGCTGGGTCCGCCGAAGAGTCGCCTGGCTGGCGCCCGTGGGCGCGAAGTGCGCTGGCTGGGTCCGCCAATCTTTCGCCTGGGGTGCGCCCGCGGGCGTGAGCCAAGTCCGCCGAGGTTTCGTCGGAGGGGCGCCCGTGGAGGTCGTGAGCGTCCCGTTCGCTGGCCGGGTCCGCCGAGGTTTCGCCTGGTGGGCGCCCGAGGGCGCCCCCGTGCGCTGGCTGCGTCCGCGGAGGCTTCTCCTGGACGGCGCCCGTGGGCACCTCGTGGGCGCTTCGTGCTCTGGCCGGGCCCGCTTAGGTCTCGCCTGGCGGGCGCCGAAGGGCGCTGCGTGCGCGTGCCATGTCCGCCGATGCTTCGCGTGGTTGGCGCCCACGTTTGGCCCGCCGTAGATTCTCCTTTCTAAAAAGAGAATAGACTCTACCCCCCCCGGACTTATCGGCCCTCCCTGGGATAGTATGATTTCGCATATATATATATATATATATATATATTCTGCACACTCGTCCATCCTAAATATGAAATCGTAGCATCCCAGGCAGGCCGGTTTTCCCCCCCTGAGGGTCCCTTGTAAAATTAGCCTGGCGAAGGACCCAACCATATGCAGTTGTGAATGCCGCAATTGTGCTGGGTGGTGGCGGGCGCATGCGGGCGGTTGCCACGGGGACCTCGGTGGAGCTCACTATGGGGCCACGAAGCGGCTGACTGGGTGGGTGAGACCGCGGTCAGCAGGGCTGTGCTGCGTGGGTGGGCGGAAACCGCATGCGAGGTGCCACGAGGGCCCTTCGGTGGGAGCTCCCTATGGGGCCACGAAGCGTGCGAGGTGTGCAGAATGGGGTGTGGAAACCGCATGCCAGCGGCAGCCACGGGGGCTTCGGTGGAGCGCCCGATGGAGCCACGAAGCGTGTGAGGTGTGTGCCGATATGGGGGGTGGAACCGCATGCGACGCGCAGCCACTGAGGCGTTCGTGGAACTTCCCTATGGGGCCCGAAGACGTGTGAGGGGCGGCACAGTTTTCGTGGCCGAAAAAAAGGGGGTGGAACCGCATGCGAGCGCAGCCACTGCGGCGTTCGGTGGAGCTCCCTATGGGGCCACGAGACGTCTGAAGGGCGTGCCGAAAAAAAGGGGGTGGAACCGCATGCGAGCGCAGCCACTGGGGCCTTCGGTGGAGCTCTCTATGGGGCCACGAACCGTGTGAGGGGTGTGCCGAAATGGGGGGGGAACCACATGCGAGCGCAGCCACTGGGCCGTTCGGTGGAAGAATTGGACGGTTGAGATCGCAAAGGCACACGACGAAAAACGTGTGAGCTCCATCGAGGTGCCAGAATGGGGGGTGGAACCGCATGCGGGCGCAGCCACTGAGGCCTTCGGTGGAGCTCCCTATGGGGCCACGAAGCGTGTGAGGGGTGTGCCAGAATGGGGGGTAGAACCGCAT